ATATCATTTTGAAAATGCCTATTTTGAGTGGAAGCAGAAACACGCTGTTTTTCGGGCCTGTCTCTTCAAATGCAAATGAGCTGCTACTCCCCGCCCCCTTTTCCAGAATATAGCAGCGCCATTAGAGCTCGGACCTGCTAAAAACATCTGTTATGGTTCTGATTATCATGTTTATCAAGCTGAAATCATGTGGTTTAAACCATATGAGTTTAAACTTCTGATATACGGTTTTCTGAGAGCACACATCCGAAGCACACGGACAGAAAGCGGCTGTCACAGCATGTGAGTACTAAACTAAGTTCTCATTCACACACAAGTTTACGTTAAAAACACACACGAGTTAAAAAAAACAGTCGGTTATGTCTGTGAAGGTAAACTGCTGGGAAATAAATTGCATGCTTATTTTAGATCTAAATAGTGTTCTGTGCTCGTCTGTGTAGACAAAGGCAGAACAGTTAGTATGTTTTGCTCAAACTTTCGCCATGGCGTTAGAGCTGGTACACCATTTTCTCTTGTGAAAACACAAAGATGGCGCCGTGGGTGGAAACGTACATATTAAGGGGTGGTAATATTATAATGAGATCCCTTTGCCACGCCACTAAGGGAGCAAAATCAGACACGCTCGTTTTCTCAGACGCTTGCAGAAAAAGGCTTCCCAAAACAGTTACTGGGTTAATGTTTTTCACGTTTCCTTGGTTGGTAGATGCACCGGGGACCCGGAAAAGTCAGATTTTCATGATATGTCACCTTTAAATGTAAAAATTGAAAATCGAGAATCGGTGAAACGTTATGAAAGAAAAAGGAAAAAAAAGGAGAGATATTATTTTTTGCCTTATTGCCCAGCCCTAGTTTCCCTTTCTATTTATAGCCCTCAAATTCAAATTTTCTGGACCCTGTGTTTTATGAGTAAATACAAATGTATTATCAAAAACGGTGGTAATCAAATAAATGCATAAAACTTTAACAACTTACATTGTTTAATTTAATCAAATGAAAATGTAACAATTCTTTTTGCTTTTTTTTTGGCAAAGTGCTGCACAACAGGTTTACTTTTTTTAATTAAAACATGGACAAAAAATGTGATATTGTGTGATATTTCTTAAAATTAGGTTTTAATAACTTACTTTGAGAAGTACATTCGACTATACAATAGTAATATATTTCTGTCAGCTTCTCTTCAACATTTGCAAAATTCTGTGGCTGGATTCCGCAATCTATATGTTTTTTTGACAAAAAAGGGCTGAGAACATTTCAACACACAGAAATACACAAAGCTAATTTTCTTCTGTCAGCCAGCTGCCCCACGAATCAGCACAGCTTTAGCAACTCTGTCACAAGCTCTCATGGGAAACAGGCTGGAAAAAAAGCCTTATCTGGGACTGATCAGAATGCAGAGAACAGAGCGATCTAGAAACCAAAGGCACGCTGAGAACGACATCTCAGGTTCCAGAAAACAGAAGGTGAAGAAATGTAAAACAGTACTTTTGTGTTTGTCACTTACACAACAGTGTAATGTGCCACATTGTTTATGTAGCACTCATGTTAAAGCGCCCCGAAGTAAGTCAGCCTAGCGCTACAAAAAAAGCGAGAAACGGTGAAGAGGCTGGATTAGATGAATGAGAAAAGCCTGCCGTGATGCTTTTTGCAATGCTCCTCAGCACTCCTTCCCATGTCCCTCTAACGCACTCAAGTTGTACAAACATACAGCTTGCCTGAGCGCTGAAGGGGGCTTCAGCCTATCAGCAGGCAAGGCTGCTGCACGCATCACTGGAACCCAGGCTCGCAATTGGCTGTCGGTGCCAAATAAGGCGGGACTAGATTATGTAAACAGCTTCTAAATACAGGGTGAGCAGCCAATCAGAATCACTGCCTGCACACATGACATCACCAGTGAGGTACTGAGTGGCTGAGAGATACCGAGAGAGAGAGAGAGGAAGGTAGTGTGATGGAAAAAGACAAAGAAAATTGTAGGCAGCACAGGACCCTCTCTTAACATGCTGACGGCAGGGGTGCGACGGACAAAACAAATGACACAACAAAGGGTTTGGCTACCTTTATGAGCACAAACACCAGCTGCAGCATTTTAATGTTGATGGGTTAGTTCACCCAAACATGAAAATCCTGTCATTATTTACTCACCCTTATGTTTTAATAGAAAAAATAAAATAGAGCGCGTCAGATTTCGCTTTCTTGGTGACATGGCAAAGGGATCTCATTATAATATTACCGCCCCTTCATCTGTAAGTTTACACCCACAGCGCCATCATTTGATTGGTCTCCAAAGAAGTGTGTTTTTGGACGTGAGGGAAAGATAACCTTGTTCAGCTTCCCAAAGAACCCAGCGTTACGTGAACAGTGGATGCAGTTTGTTTTTCCAGGGCAGCAACGGAGTTTCGGAAGTGTGTTTGTTTGTTCCCGTCATGTCGGTGACAAATGCTTTAGAAGCAAGGCCCAGTTCGACGCTGGATTTGCACATCGTTTTGATACTGAAAGATGGCAGGCAGGCGGAGAGTAAAACTGCATCAAATTTCTGTTTTGTAGGCAATCGGCGCCTAAGTGCTCGCAACACTTTAGCTCCGCCCACGGCACGCCTCCAGGAGCTCGGCTGTTTTCGGAGAGACTCTTTTTTTCTCCGACTCTTCGGAGATACGAAGGATGCAATACTACTATACAGATACTCAAGATTAACCTGAGATTGGCCGAAACTGTGTGTGTTATGTCCCCTTAAATAAGAGTGATTTATGGATAAAGGCCCATTTACACCAATGGATGATAACACTCTTGATTACAAGCATGGTGCAGTTTTGTCTCCTGCCGCTTTAAATGCTCGAGCTCTTTCAAGTTGAGTAGATTCTGATTGGCTGTCAAAGATTTTACCGTTCATCATCTAAAACAAACATTCTGAAAGTGATTCCAACAATACCGCAAATCACTAAGAAATGACATGCCACGTATGATGCACTGACCTGCACTTTAGACAGCTCGTAATGGTCCGCTTCAGGTCCGGGTACGGTCTCTCTGGACGGTACGGCCCTGTACGCAGAACCAGATGCCAGAAAGTCCTTTCCCAAATCATGTCCTTTCATCTTCTTTTACCAACATAGGAGCGCTTTTGTTGCTTCAACTCTAAGCTTTATCTGGTCAAAGTCACCAAATCTGAACTGATGAGAGAAGGAATGGGTTAACATGAATGGAAATGTTACTCTTATTTCGTCCGACTCAGCACTGATAGAGAAATAAATGAACTTTTCCATGACATTCTAATTTATTGAGATGCACCTGTATATGCACAAATTCCATTTTTTCCTTTGTACGCTTTAAAGTCTGACAAGATGGTATTGTTGTTGGGAAATTACTGTATGAAAAAACATTCAAACAGACCAATCTGTTCAATGTTGTTATCTAATGACATTAGCATAAGGTCATTTTTAGTAGTCACTTTCAGTTGCCTTTTTAGCCATCATTTGGCCAGGCTAAGTAAGTGCATTCCTTTTTGAATTTCACGAAAACATCACGTCAGACTAAAATCTAATGAAAATGACCATAAAGATCAGGGACGGATTATCCAATGGGCATTATGGCCATGGGCCCATGCGCACTTGGATCCCAAGCGAGGGGAAGAAAAACATTTTTAGAGTGTCTTTAATTGTGCTTGTTGGCGAACGCTACATACACTAGCTCCGCCCACCAATGTCTGTTACACTCAGAATTTAAAAAAGACACGATCGGTACAACATATTCAGTGGAGTAGGCAGAAGAGAGTAAGACTCTCAGAAACGGCTTTTGGTGCAATCGAATCCGGGTTCGAATCCGCCTTCTGACAAGCTATAAATCATAATTTACACTCTATGTTATTATTACATCCTGTTAAAGGCACAATATGTAATTTCCGCCGCTAGAGGGCGCGTATTCAAAATAAACAAAGAAACAAAGGCGTAGTTTGATGACGCAGTGACTGAGTGTGGAATCATGGGAGTTGTGTCTTCATCCCCACAGCCGATGCAATCCGACGGGACTCGGGCAGAAATCATGTTCATGGATGAGCTAATGATTTATTAACGTAGTAGAATGAAGCAGGGTGAGGCTGAAAGCCGTCGAAGCGAAACGAGGCGCTGAACGAGCGCGACACACGGCTCGAAAGCAGCGGAGCTTTTATTATGCCACAGTCGACCGCTTCCGCTCCTTCCGGTCGTGTGTATGTGGGGTAAAGCAGCGCTGTTTTATCATACTAGATACATTTGAAAGTTCTGTTATAATGCTACTCTGTGCGGTCGTCACCGGTCTATTAAAACGCACAACATATTAAAGCGTCTTTGGTGTTTCGGAAATCGAGGGGTCATGACGTCATCGGCAGGTGACACAATGACACCGGACACGCTCCGTGTCACTAGTTAAAATGGTTTATTTCTCTGGATT